TGGTGCTTGAACGGTTGTTCATAGCCTTTGATCTTCTGACTCTGAGCAGAAACAAAAACCAAAACAACCTGATGCTACACTTCTTGTTCAAATAAACATTGTAAAGCCCATCTCATATTCTTGAATATGAATGAACAACAGCACTTGTTTTCACCCTCTTCTCTGTCATATGAAATACATAATTGGATCACATGTCATGCTCTATCATGTGTCTGCAGCTCTGTGAAACCCTAAAAAAAAAAAAAGATCATTCATCGTGTGCGTTGATCATTCCAGTGTATCCAAGGGATACCACCGACAATGCATAATTATATTAATGGAAACCAGTATTAACACTTCTTCTTGGTAATGATATAGGCTGCTATTCTTTCTAAAGCTTTTGGATAAAGCAGGGTCAGCGCTCAGTGTGTCTGAGGCACAATCTGGGTCCTTAAGGTTAATAATAGAGATGGAAAACAGAGATGTCGTAGAGGAATCTCCCATACACACAACATGCATTGAAGATCAGGACAGGTTAACGAGGAAGGCTTTGCGTATGGCTGACGTCATTGTGATCCTGATCAAAACCCCTGGTGTACAACTCATTTGTCGTTGAGGCAATAAGAGGACTGCCATCCTGAAAGGCTCTCCATCTCAGAGGATTTGAGGAAGATTAGACGGTTCTCAGGAGTAACTCCTTTGTTGTATTTGTGAACTAACTGTCAAGGGTGTTTTCCTGTGTCCTCATTCATTTCTAATACTTTTCTGTTGAGCATTTTTTTTCACATATTAGTTTATTTAAGTTCTGCAGAGAAAAATGTCACAAAAATAAATAATACAAACAACAAATAAAATGATAAGCACTTCCATCCAGACCAATTTTCTGCAGTAGCCAAAGCTAGTTGGTTCACAGGTATTGATAAAAATGTGTTTTACAGGGGGATTGTTGCCTAAATTTAACAACAAAAGAATTGCAGCCCACAACAGTACGTGACAACCAAAATATCTCACTCTGACCTGAATTCATGTTGGAGTTTCTATTATTTTGTCTTGTGGGCATACACCTAAATAAATAAATAAAAAGTGGCTAATGACTGTATTTTCCAAGCACTGTGAATGTCCTGGTAGCATATAAAACAATTTATAATGTATATTGGTTCTTTCTTCTTTTCACATAAGTTTGATGTAAAGAGTGCTACAGTGTGGTCAAATCCACATTAACTTCAACACAGAGAGACAACTTGTGGTTGCAGCTGAGCAAGTGAAGTTTTACTACTTTGCTACTCAATGTCACAGTTTCATTTAAAAAGGGAGATAGATAGATAGATAGATAGATAGATAGATAGATAGATAGATAGATAGATAGATAGATAGATAGATAGATAGATAGATAGATAGATAGAGACCATAGATGGGACATTAATAGTCCTGGGAATGAAAAGAGTGGTGGTACTAGACCATAAGGGGCACTGGAGATGTGAAATTTGGCACACAATGTAAAACCGCAGTAATCAATATTATTATATTAATAAAATGAAAATTCATTAAATGACAACTTTGATTCACAAAGTCTGTTATCATCAACCCTAGAAAGACACCTGTTTTCAGCAAAACAGCATTGAAAATCCCTGCGTGTGCTTCCTGCCCAGCAATAAAAACAACAGAGAGAAACCATCAAGAGATAAATGTCCTTCTGTGTCTGTTGGATGAATAATTTTTTTTGCCATCACTTAAGCTGTAACAACATTGTAAGGTGATATGTCAGACAATGTGCTGAGGAATTATTATGCCCCCAAGTGGCAAAAAAATCTATGAATACAATAAAAACGGGTCATGCTTTGCAGCAGGATGCATTGTGCCATTCATATACTGTATGTTGGCTTCAATTTTGAATTGTAATAAAGCAAAATAAAAATCGACTGCAACCTTCAACTATACATACTCGGGCTGTCCTCAATACCCTTTATTAGGCTCCAAAGATTTGGTAGTAATCAACAGCAAATATTTGAAGCTTTGGCAGGGAAGGGGGGAGACTTTTTATTTTTATTTCTATTATTATTTTTTTACACCATCTGCAATCGACCAACTCTCCAATACAGCCTACTTACAACCGCAACATGCTCTCAAACTCAAACTGGCTTGGGCCACTGCTGGTATTGTCAGGGCCACTACAAAAAAGCACAATATTCTGTATTTTCAATAAATGTAATATTTCAAACACTAACATCATACTTAACAAAAAAGGGCAAAAAGCAGTTTCTATACATTTTTATATCATAATTTTATAACATCGTTGTTGTTCGCAGTCAAACAACAAATAAAGGTCCAAAACCTGCTCTCTTCTTGACCTTTGCCATTATTTCGTGCCAAATTAATTTTAGTTTAAATTATAATTGTCTTTTTATTTTAAATTGATATGTATCAACTAGAAAAATATATATAATCTTGCAGGCCAGATTATATTATTTATATATTTTTGACATCATGTCACAGGCCGGAGGGAGGGGTATAGAGGTACAGAAATTGCCCCCGGGCCGTTAGTTTGGCACCACCGCTCTACAGAGAAACACGGAGAGAGACTCCTCCTCCACACATACCTCACCTACTGTTGAAAACTGAAACAAAACGCAGGTTGTGTTTTTTCTGCAACTTTGACTAAGAAAGTGCGAGAGAGAAACAGAAAAATGCGTGCAGCGATGTTCAAATATCTGAGCCTCAAAATGGAAAACCAAATACCTTCCCAACAAACGAATATCCAAATATTCGTCCAGCCCTAATACATCTTCACATCTTTTGTGTTCACTTCACAAAATGTTAGTCTAACTCAATGGATGCACAATTACTAATAACTGCGTCCAAAAGCACCTACGCTATAACATTGTTAACTATGAAAGGGTTTTCCAACGTTGCTTACTCTGTAGAAGGCATGAAAGCATATTAGGTGTGAAGTGAAATCAATATGCTAAGAAAACGTTGCTGCAGACCACAGTGTCACTTTGAAGATCTACAGTATGTACACAAGGTGAAGCCAGATGTTGCACTATTGTGGTTTATAATAGAAAGGCCACAACAACCCCCAATGCATTATACTTCCTGCTTTGAATTCAATAGATCAGGTATAAACAGATAAATAACTTATGAATGTTTTAAAACCTGTATTGTCTCTTTTATTGGCACATTGCTAGCTTGCATTACTGCCCTCTGCAGTCACCACAAATATATTTCATCTCTCATGCTCTTGCCAACAAGTGATACAAACAACACTACAGCACAAATAGTGGTCAAAAACTCTGCAAGGTCCCTTTAACCACATAGGTGTCATTGCAAATGGCTCGGCTGAAAATTTACATGTTTGTACTAATGTCTTCTAATACGCACCATCACAGTACAGACATTAATACAATTCTTTTTGGTGTTACAATTTATGTAACTTTTGAACAACATTGAAAAGGAAGGCTGAAATGAAATATAAATTTAGGATGAGAAAAAAATAAAAGACGCTCCCGTGCACTCCCAAAAAAGTAAGACTATGCTTCCTTTAACCAAAGGAAAAGTTAGAACCCCCTCCCCCTTTTACATATAGCCCCTTAGCATGCAGAACAGTTTGTGGTAGATATGTAATACTTGGTACACATGCTCATCATATAGGCCTATGCTTTAAGATTGCCAACATGTATTTTCTATGGTACACCTTTACTTTTGCTGAAGGGATTCATCCAAAAAAGGTAAAGTTATATATTTTCAGTTAGCACAAAAAGGTCAAATCATGACACAATCGATCAAATCTTAGTTTTAAAAAAAACTAATTCACATTCAAGATCTGTCAGGCTTAAACTGATATGTTGTAATATTGCTGTACAACAAATAATCTAGTACCCACAATGCTTTGCAAGGCATTCAAGGAACATAGTGAACATTTATCTTCATGCTGTAGGCTGCTCATTGCTGGCAGCACATTTGTACTTGATATTAGTTCTCTCTCCTCTTGGATTACATTCCTGTCCCCTGTCTGTGCAACAAACTTCACCTAATAGCTCAGACACAGCACTCAATATATGACTATATCTTCTATAATATGTATTCCTGTGGGGTTGGGCATTAGTGTGTGGCGCTCACAAGTGACTTTACTTTATGGTATTTTTATGTAATATTTCTCTAACAGCCTATCATATTCTCACTGGGACTTAAAGGTGTGTTGACGACGGCACACACAGATACTCAGTGGCGAGTTTATGGCGACCTTATTGCACTTAATGGTATTTGTTTTAATCTCCTGAGGCATCACCATAACATTCTTACAGGCCCTTAATGCTGTGCCCTGTCAGCGCTGCTCAATAGTGAGTTTCCAGTGACCTTATCGCACTTTATGGCATTTTTTATGTCCCGTAACAGCCTCTCACTGTGTTCGACTGCTTTAAGTGGTCTCAAAACCGACGGTCTGATATTCTCGACCACAAACACGGGGATATTATGGCCATTACGTAACGCAATTTACGGAATACCCCACGGGCCAATTAAACGGATAACGATATTTTGTAACAATTTCAGTAATCTGCTCGCCTTGCATAACAGCGGGCTCTGGATGCGCTGCGTGGACAGATGCGCAGGCTGGCGATATCGGTAATGGATTGTAAACACGGGCTGCCTATAGGCCTCGGCTGCCTCAGATATTATTCTGATGGAGAAGAGCCACCTTCTCTCCCCGCCACCTGCAGAATGCGCAAGTCTATAACAGCCCACTGCAGCCCCGTAGCCTCTTGATTTATTGCACTGCACAACACAGATAGCGAGCGGGCTTTAGCGGAGGTCTTTGCTAAAAAAAAAAAATGTATGCAACGACAACACAGACAACAGAAAACCAGTTTGGCGTAAAAAAAAAAAAAAAAAAAAAAAAAAAAAAGCCAGTGAAAAATATGCATAATGTGGCCTAGAAATAAATAACAGACGGTGACAGCCCTCAGTATTGATTTAGATGAAGATGCACAGCAGAGATTCAGTCATTCCGCTCAAATGGTGCTTACCTCCAGCGTTCGTATCTCTTTCTGTGTCAAGTCGTTGGATGTGGCACATTTGGTCCGTAAACCCTCCAAACTAGAAATGCTTATGTCTATCATATTTTGCACCAACTCGCACTGCTGCAAGGCTTTCTGCAAACTAAGATGCTGCTCCTCGCTTTTTGTCATCTCCTCGTTCATAGTTTTGCGAGCAGTAGTCGTTATTTTCCCGTTGCACTTTAAAAAAAAAATTAAATAAATCAAAACAACAACAACAACAACAAAATAATAATTCAGAAAAGAAACGTGGAGAAGCCCACGGAACAGAGCAACCTGCAAAACGCCATGAAACGAGATGCTGTGGGTTTACAGACGGGGTTTGAGCCGTGAGAGAGTCGACTCCATTGCAACAACAGTCCTCGTAGTTCCTGCTGTTTCATCAAGGTGTCTCTGGTTGTAGGCTAAATCAAACACAATATGAAGATACCAAGCCGGACTACGCGGTTTGCCACAGCATCCATTGGGTGCCCCTTCGTTTCAAATGGATGTTTTTAAAAAAAAAAGAAGAGAAGCTGTTCAGCGCATCATAAGCAGACGTATCGGAGGGGAAAGCCTGGTGGTTTTAAAGGTGCTGATGTGTGGATTGGATGCAGGTACTCCCTGTCTCCCTTGGCAGCAGCTGCATCCCGGTTTGCTCCCACCACACCGACATGTTTCCTGTCAATCAAACCCACAGCAACAGCAACAGCATCGCATCGCCCAGGCACCGCCGTGAGGGGCCGCTCTCGCGAGATGATAGCGCTGAGTGCAGTGGGCTGCGCTGCTTTGACCAGTCTCCAGGCCTGTGTGTGTGTGTGTGTGTGTGTGTGTGTGTGTGTGTGTGTGTGTGTGAGAGAGAGAGAGAGAGAGAGAGAGAGAGAGAGAGAGAGTGGGGGACACAACTGACACTTTTCACATGTTTTGGAGGAAAGATGTAGGGTCATCATCGTTTTTACACACATCCTAGATGTGTGCACTGCCATACAGGACACCTACACACATGCCTACACTCACCTACAGCCTACACACACACTATTTCTATATAGTGTGTTATAGTGGGTTTCAATCTGTCTTTTCTCCCTTCTCTTTACAGTGATTTGTGCATTTATGGTACTTTTTTTATTTATTTATTGACAGCATTTTTAAGCTTTGAAAGTCTCATCATATTAGGACGAATTTAAACTTACCTCACTTAACCTTTTTAGAGATGTTTTTAGAGACTTCCTGCTTATACCTTAAACTCCACTACATTTATTTGATGACTTAAGTTATTTCATTTGAGTCAGATCAATAATAAAACATATAATCAACTATTAAGTTATAATGTATTATTACAGATTAAGATTTAATTATTGTATTGATCCCCAGGGGCAAATGACCCAGTAGTCACTTGTGCTGTATAAACTAATTAAAATTAGCTCCACCCTTACCAGTTAAAACATTAAGTGATAATGCAATAAGGCAACTCTGGTTAGTACTTTTACTTTAAGTATATTTTGATGCTAATACTTTTGAATGCAAGTCTTCTACCTGTAGCAGAGTATTCTGTGGTATTGCACTTGTACTTAGATCTGAGTACTTCTTCCACTACTGTTTGTCTGTTTGCAGCTATAAGGTGAAATAATAATCAAAATGCAGGCTTGTCATGTGTTCTGAAATGAAATGAATGAAATGCTGGTACATGACATATGTACTGCACAGAAATAAGCATGTTTGATTATCATCACATATTGCCCACATAATTTACATAGAAAGTCAGTGGAGAAAATATTTAATCAAACAGCTCGAAGCGAAATCAGGTTCAAATGAGCTTAAGATTATGAGAGAATTACGTGTCCTGCTGTATGTAAGCACTAGACACTGGACAAAAGTTGTGAGAAGAATTGCAATATAAGAAAGACCACGTTGAAGTAAAGGTGAGTATAGTTCAGAGGGGAATGAATGGGATTTATTTCCTTAAATTGTAAGTAAATTGTAAAGTAAAAATCTGACCCATGTGTAGAATTTTAAGGCCTTTTTACTTTTTTTTTTATTGTTGGGTCAGGTATAAACATCATAACTACTTGATCATAACAGTGATGAAGTTACTTGTAAAGGACTAGGCTATACAAAATTGTCTTATGGGCTTAACTGAATTGTGACAATTTGCTCTCTTTAGACCATTGGTGGGAGAAATCCCAGCAGAGGGGGGTCTGAACTGTACACAGCAATGTCATCTCTCATGAGGCAGAGGAGAACACTAGTGGGAAATTTATATGACATTTTCTCTGTCACCTGCAGAGACTTCAGCCAGCATTGGGTCCAGCCCAGCTGAAAAGACTGGCTAGTAGAGAGAGACATAGAACAGCATATTAAGCTGATTCTTGGTTTAATCATTTTAATTTTATATAAAATGTTTTCAAGAACGCATTTGTTCCAGAAATGTATTTACAAAGTGCACTTAAATAGCCTATGTGCAAGCAGCATGGTATATGCTTTTAAATGCTTTACATTTCATATCTTTCACACACTTTTTACAGTGGCTTGCTATGTCATCGAGACCCCGCCCACAGGAGCCGACAAAGTGATCCCATTGGTTGTACGCCGTGACGTTTGACGCATGTTTTGTAGTGCCGCGCGCCAAACACTGCCACTAACAGAGTGGAAGTGCTAAAAACTCTTAAAGTATTTAACCCGCGTTGGAGCTAAATTCTCAGATAGAGAACACATGGCTTCTACAAATAAAGCACCCTTACAGACCAGAAATTTACCTTGGTGAGTTAAAAGTCGTCGTTTATCACAAATTAGTTAAAATAGTTAGTGCTAGCTAGCTAACATGCCTACTATGTATTCAAGCTAGCTGCTCCCCTCATTATTAGGTGCCTGTCCTCTATTCAGGCTTTTCTGGGCTTTTTGTTTTTACAAATAACGCTAGATATTCCTCATACTTGTAAAACGATTATTTAATGTGAAGCAATGTCAGCTTTTCTTTATTTCGGCACATATAATAGCTAGTTATTCCATCAAGCATCGCCGTTTTGCCACTTGAACCCGCTGGCTCATAGGAAATGCTGCAGTGTCTGCAGACGATGAAGTTGACATTTGTTTGATATATATTTGTGCATGGTGCAAATTATAGATGCCGAATTGAAAAGTGGCACCCAACAATTTGAAGTCTGCGACGTTAGTCACAGATTATAGCATACGTACCCAAACCAATTAGTAACAGGTTTTAAAATAGAGAAATTTGAATTAAGTTCCTTCTGTAGTTTACACCAGTATAGAGAGGGGTTAACAAGTTGGTAATATGTTATGTTATTTTGAGTTAGTCCTGTACTTACAGCAACAGTCTTTTAGCAAAAGAAAAGTATTTAATGTTGATAACAATATTGATGGAAGATCTATTTCTGCTCCATATTTCAGGGTTGAAAAATACAGACCACAGAAACTTGATGATCTGATCTCACATAAAGATATTCTAAGCACCAGTAAGTATGTGGACTTCCAGAATATGTATTATGCTTATTCTTAAAGCATCTGCACAACAGGGTTTATCAGTAACACCTTCCACTAAAGGATTATAAATCTACTGTCCCATTTATTTTTCATGTTTTATTAAATTTAATTATTACTACCAAACAGTACATAAATATGAATTACAAAGTCATAAGATACTTATTTACATTGAACTCATAAACCTTTGCTGCTGTCTCTCAGAGTGGCTGTCTTGTCTTTATTGTTTACTATAATTGTTATAAGAGTTAATAATTAAAGATACGAAAGCCACAACTTTCAAAACTTTCCTCATGTTTTCAATTAATAGTACTGTTCAACTATTTTTCATGTCTTTAGTCCAGAGGTTTATTAGTGAGGACAAGCTCCCCCATCTCTTGTTCTATGGCCCCCCTGGAACAGGCAAAACCACCACCATCCTCGCCTGTGCCAGGCAGCTGTACAAGGACAGAGAGTTCAACTCTATGGTGTTGGAGGTACGCTACAACTCCTCGTTTGACACTTTTGGTTTATTAGCTTTTCTTTATTTTTGCTCCTGAGATCTTCAGTAGTTCGGGATTTTGTGGCTATTGATTTGATGTTTGACTGATTTCGTTGTGCAGCTAAACGCATCAGATGACAGAGGTATTGATGTAGTACGAGGTCCCGTTCTAAGTTTTGCCAGCACCAGGACCATCTTCAAGTAAGACAAAAAAAATCCATCTACTACACTTGTTACATACCTTCTGTTCAGAAATAAATTTTCTTTATGCTCTTCTCTTTATTTGCAACACATAACTACAAGGTGAAATATCTAAACTGCTGCCTTTTTGTCCATCCCTCTTGTCCTCCAGGAAGGGTTTCAAGTTGGTGATACTGGATGAGGCCGATGCCATGACCCAAGATGCCCAGAATGCATTGCGGCGAGGTAAAGCCATCTGTTCTGCCGGGCGTTGCCCACTGTGAGCCACACGCCTCACTGAGCAGCCTGACAATTTGGCTGCTGGTGAATTATAGTGTATCTGCTTGTACACCTTGATATTCATTTTAAACCGAAACCTCTCTTTAAGATTTGGTTTTAACTATTGATTAAGCTCAACTGGAACACTTTGTATTAGTGAAATCTAACTACTATTTTTTTTTTTACATGCGCTTGTGTCATCATGGTAGGGCTGCAAATAACAATTGTTTTCATTATAGATTAATCTGCCAATTATTTTCATGATTAATTATTTGTCAAAAAATTTGTTACTTGCAATTTCCCAGAAAAAAACTTTATTGTGCCATTAGCAAATTCTGTGGTCAGAAGTCAAATAGCTTTGAACAATGACATTTCCTAATCCAAGTGTTTACAACTTTTCTACAGATTATTACTAAAACTATAGAAGTTATAGAAAAAGTAAAAAACAGTCTTGTCTAAAAAAAGGCCACACATACATGCAGTATGTGTATGTATATATATATATATATATATAAAACTAATTTTATTATGTATATAAATTAAATAACATTTTAGATGCAGCATTGTATCTTTCACGTTTCTTTGTTACACCGACTTCTGACTTGTGCTTTCTTCTCCTCTCGCTGTCTCAGTGATTGAGAAGTACACAGAAAACACTCGATTCTGTCTGATCTGCAACTACCTGTCCAAGATCATCCCGGCCCTGCAGTCTCGCTGCACCAGGTTTCGTTTCGGCCCGCTGTCCCCGGACCAGATGATCCCTCGGCTGGAGCATGTAGTCCAGCAGGAGAGGTGTGTGTTTGTGTGAAGGGTAATAATGTTTCTACACCCACAAAACTAGTAAGACCATCTGCAAGACATTGTCAGTACTTGTTGGCCTTTACACTGTTATGCTCCATTATGTCATTATGCTACCAGTTTGGGTTTCACAGGAAACGTGTTGTTATTTTTTAGCACAAAAAAGGAATTACTTAAAAGGAAGGAGCTGTTTATCTAACCCTTTGGACAGATTTCTCCAAACTTGAGTTTTCTTACTGTGACTAATAATGTTTAATAATGTTAAACGTTGATTAAAAAAATCACATCCCTTTTGTAACAGCAATCGATATAGTTCATGGGAAAGACGCCCTAAATTTAGGTTATATCAGAGGCAGTAGCATGAAATAAAATAATATCACAGTTTGACAGAAATACATTTATGTTCCAGTAGGACACACACAGTTTAGCTTTACATTGATCTAACAGATTTCATCTTTTTGTGGCAGCCTTGACATAACTCCAGATGGAATGAAGGCCATTGTGACCTTAGCATCAGGTGATATGAGAAGATCGCTCAACATACTGCAGGTGCGACCAACCTCTTGACCACCGTGCCTTGTAGCATTCTGTCACTGTTCTGTTAAGAGTTTTCATTCATATCGTGTTTTAAAACAGCTGAAAAACAAA